AGAAAACCGAGGTTGGAATAGTGGTTGGTCAAGTTGCTGTTGCTTGCGCCGATTCTCGTCGCGGACCTTCATCAGAAAACCTGCTAATCTGTTAGGACTTATACAGCCTCGAGCATGAATAACATGATGGAGCTCTACTTGCCATCAGGTAGCTTCTCATAGTTGAGAGATACCCGTTCAAAAGGCGTGTCGATCATTAGGCCTCCCAATGTCTTGACCCTGGAAACTGCAACGTAACTCAGCCCTGTCTGGAAGTCCCGCTCAGACAGATCTGTCACCATCTTGTCCACCGTGATACTCTGTGACTTGTGAACTGTAATGGCATACGACGCCATGAGTGGAAATTGCGTTCGGGTACAGGCGGACGCCCCAAGAAAGAAGTCTCGCTTCACTGGGAGTATGGGTACTACCTCGCGCCCATCATCCGTGGTTAGATACGATAGCCCGGTATCCTTATCCATAACCATCATCATGACAGACGGCGGGTCACGGTGCGTAACAGCGCCAGGCGCCCAACCGATGTCATATACTGCCTGTCCCTTGGGCCCCATTCACTAGGCCTGTTGGATGCCAGATGTTCTGTGTTAGCATGAGACGAGCACCAATGCAAACCGGAAACTGGCCAGCCAGGTTGCCAGCTTGTTCCGACGTTGCCTTGTCAGCACCGTTACCAATGTTCTTCGCCGTGACTTGGATTGCTGGGCGCTTCATACGAACGAGGTGCTCGTAGTTGTATTCGTTGACACGAGCTTTCTTGCTATAGATACGAAGCGCAGCCTCAAACGCATCTACCTCGCGCTGGCCTAGCTTGGCCTGTACACGCTGGCTCAGAAGTTTCCATGACTCTATGGATAGCTTTAGACCACGAAGTTCTTCAAGCGCAAGACGAAAGCCAGCCTGGTCGTCGCCCTGTTGCCGCTGGGGCTTTTTCAAGAAGACGGTGTGGACTGGAGCTATTAGCATCTCTTCTACTTTTGTCAATTGGGGGAGGAACGCAGGAATTGATCCAAAATCCAACTGATTTCCGGCTGAAAAGAACCAAGGCTCATCCTCCTTTTTGTTCTTGTCCTTGGCGATGCAACGCTTGCAAGTATCATCTTTCAATCCCATGTCAAACCATGTCTCCTGACAGCGAGTGCAGTGTTCCATTCGGTCTGGATCCGGAAGCTCGAAATCTCGACGGTCTGGAACCAGGCGTTCGATGACCGACTGCTGGACAGGTGGGCGAGAATATCGTCCCCGGGACTGTCTCGGCCAAATAGAGGGACTCGATACCGGAGACTCGATAGGGGTTCCCAGTCGTACGCCTTGAGATGCAATCGAGGAACCTGGTTGGGCAGTAATCGGCCCCGGTGCGAGTTGTCTTGTTGACCAAGCAGTTGGTGTTCCCGGCAGAATAGGTTCTTGTGAGATGATTGGTGTACCTAGTTGCAAGTTTACCAATGGTAATCCTTCTCGACGTATTGGAGACAACGCAGCTTGTTCTGCAGTACGCTTAGTGGCGAGTGCGGCTTGCCGGTTCCTACAGTCGAGACAGTCAACCGTAGGTCTTGCACATAATATGGAAGACTTTTTCTTCGAAATGAATTGATCTGCCGGCTTCTCCAGCTTGCATTTCTTGCAAACATTCGTTGGAGTGATAGAATCAGCCATGAGTCGTTGGGTGGCAGGGACGGCTGGATGAGGAAGAGGAGAACTGTGCGTTGGTGGCATTTGTCGTTGGCAGGCTATCAGGGGCGCGGGGACTTATTCAGGAAACCACCAAATCGATTGCATTGCAGAGAAAAGAAGGAGAAGCTCTCCAGGAGAAGCTCTCGACAGTCGATGCTCAGGGGCAGGCTGTGAGACCCTCATTTGGTGGCGTTATTGCATCGGCATCAGCCGAGTCCACAACAACGGGCCAGCCCCTTACCCAGGAAACCGAACACAGACCTTGCACCAGGCAGACTATCATCCAATCGGCGGTGAGTGGAAACACATGTGACCAATGAGAGTAGAGTTTATGTATTGAAGTTATCGTCGTAATAACAGTCCTTCGGACTGAACAAGCTCCAGTGGAGCCGGGTACAGTGGTACGGTACCTCCCCAAACGTGGTTGCAGCGCCATAATAAGGGTGGCGAGAAGCACCTTGCCCCAGGGACTAAGGATACCAGTCAGCTGCATTCAGGAGCCGGTGAATTCTTACCGGCCAGCCCCTAGCACGACGCGACGATGGTTGTCGCATCCGCATTACTACGGCAGCTTCCAATCAAGCGATATTGCCAAGATCCTTGGAAAGGAGGAGATGCTCGGCAGCGACGAGGGGTTTCGTTCTAACTTCTAAGGTAGTAAGACAATAGAGACGTACAACTTTCGATTTGAGAACGTGCTGGGTCGGTATTGGCCGTTTCGGTACGCTATGTTGCTACCTTGTCCATGAATCGGCGGCATGGCTTGCCTGGTAAGAGGCGTTTCACCGCCATAACGCAAGTGTAACTTTATGCTCCTGGTCATAATCCTTGGACGGCATTTTCTGTTCTCCTTCGCGTAGTCTGGAATCCGTCGGCTAGTATGTTGTTGAGCCGTCGACAATTATTTTGTCAGCCGTCCAATTTCCTTAGAGGAACTGTTCAGCAGACATCCCAATAATAAATAAATAACGTACCCCACAAGCGAGTGAAACACACAAGCGAGTGAAACACTTCACACGACCGTATGAACGAAAACCTAGATATCTCCACCACAATGACCTGAACCAGCTGAAATCAACCGGAGGTACCATCGTCATGTGTAGCTGCAAACATCTGACAGGTCCTCGAGTTATGTCCCGCCTTGCCACACGTTCCACAGTGTCGATTTGCCGGCCTTGACCGTGGCTGACGACCACTACTCTGTTGCGTTTCCTGCTTCACCTGGGCGTTCACCTCGATCTGTGCTTGAAGATCCTCTGCTTCAGCTACAGACATGCTTCCTCCGTGCCTGAGATGCTTTTTCTTCGCCCTGCGGCGCTTGCTTAGTGTATCTAGCTCGCCTCGTATGTGCAGGACCTCGGACTGTACAAGCGTGAGCTTGTGCATAATACTCTGCGTCCCCTTCGTTAGGTGGTCAACGGCGCCAAGAATAGATGTCGGAGAGCTATTTGATGACGGGCAATCCGATTTTTGATGTAGTCAGACTGCGAGATCGCCTCAATCGGGTTGTGCGGTGTCCTCGAAACCCATGGTTCCGGCAATCCTCCACTGCTCCCTGGCGGTGTCGGGGTCCGTAGCCGCACATCCAGCTTCGAAAGAACTGCTTCAGGGCTATGGGGGATAATTCCAGCTCCCCTAAAAGCTCCCTGTATATTCTTTTCTGTCATCGCTTCCTGAAATGCGGCGAAAAACGCAGGGAAGAAATCCTCCTTGGTGATGTGGCTGGTACCAGCCCGCATCCTCTTCTCGATTTGCCGACCGTACGCCTGTTTCAGTGGGCCAAAGCAACCAACGTCAAGAGGCTGGAGTAGGTGAGATGAATGAGGCGGCATACAGAGCGTGATGATGTTGTTCTCCTTGCAGTACAGCTCGAAATCCATCGAATGGTGACTTTCATGCCCATCCAGAATAAGGAGGCGATAACCTCCTGTTGTACGAGACCTGGTATGCTTTTCGAAGTGCTGGACCCATTCCAGGCCAATCTCGTTCGTAGTCCAGCCGTTTTCACTTGTGGCGATCACCCAATCCTTCGGTAGAGGCGTTTCTTCGTACCAGCTTGAGAGGTGGTACTTGCCGGCGACCACGATGAACGGCGGGACGCACCACTCGTGGGAATTGATCCCCTGAATCACTGTAGTCCATTCCCTATTGCCAGGTTGTACCAACCTTGTATTTGAGCGCCTTTCTGAGCTTGTAACGACCATTCCGGACGAGATAATGCCCATCAAAGCCGGTCTCATCGAAGTTGTAGACATCCGCGTCCTGGATACCATATTTCGCGATGGTGTTCCGCACAAGACGAAACCACGCGTTTATCGCGTCTGGATCTTCGCATTGGGCCCTCTTGTAGTCATATCTCCGAAAGAAGCGCGTTTTTAGATGCGGTTGTCGCTTGACGAAGTTTGAAGCCCAGTTGACGCCAACGGCTGGCGCGTCTCGATCGGCACGCAGTCTGTTAGCCATATCTTCCACGTCACGAAGCCGGGGAGGAAATGATCGTGACGCTAAGTCCAAAACACGCTCAACGATCGTCTGCTCCTCTAGCAAGGTCAAATTCCGCGAATTGGGGGGACGGTCGCGTCGAGACGGTGCCCCCTTGAGGCGTCGGCCCAACGTTACATGGCTCACATTGTAGATCTTTGCAGCACTCCGGATGCTTAATTTGGGATCTTTATTGAGAGATTCAATGGCAAGAATTAATTGAGCTTCTTTACAAGCGGTCTCCATATTTGCTTGTGGAGAGAACCGCGATGAAAAATGTGGAGGTTGGGAAGGCCAGCGGAGTGTTTCACTCGCTTGTGTGTTTCACTCGCTTGTGGGGTACGTTATACATAGCCCCACAAATGGCCTTCCAAGAATATTTGCTATAAAGGGGGCGTGGGATCATCCCCATTGCAGCCATGCCTCGCCAAATACTGTCGCTCGCACATCCCTTCTCTCGTCAAGCAGGAACCCATTATGTATCCCCTGTCGCTGTATATCGTAACGCTCGCTTCTTCTGTCTTGGCTGAAGCCGGCGATGGCGAGTGGGCCTCTGCTTACATCAAAGCGGCAGCGGCCGTTGCGAAGCTGTCCTTCGACGAGAAGATAAACATGGTTACTGGGATTAGTGGCTCCTGTACCGGTCAGACGGCTGCCGCCCCTTCCATTGGATATCCTCAACTATGCCTACAAGACGGCCCTCTTGCGTTCGTATTTCTCTCGGGACCGCATCCAAGCGAATACTAACCAACACTAGAGTGCAGGCAAAAGGGGCTACAGTGTTTCCTGCAGGCATTCATGCCGTTAGCACGTGGGATCTACCCTTGATTCGCGCCAGAGGGCTGGCTATGGGAACTGAAGCCAAAGCAGCAGGTGTGCATGTGCAGCTCGGGCCGGTAGCCGACGGCACGGGGAAGATTCCGACTGCAGGTCGGGCATGGGAAGCGTTCTCTCCAGATCCATACTTGTCAGGCATGGCAATGGCAAGTACGATTAACGGAATGCAGGCAGGCGGAGTTCAGGCTTGCGCCAAGCATTTCATCGGCTTTGAGCAGCAGTTGCATTGCAACACCATAAGTTCAAACATTGACGATCGAACTAATCACGAACTGTACATGTGGCCATTTGCCGACGCTGTCAAATCCGGCGTCACATCGGTCATGTGCTCATACAATAAAGTCAACGGCACTCATTCTTGCGAGAACGATCAGGTGCTCCAAGGATTATTGAAAACCGAGGTTGACTTCCAAGGGTATGTCATGAGCGATTGGGGAGCCCAGCACAAGACAAATGAGAGTGCGAATGCTGGAATGGACATGTCAATGGATAACCAAGGCTCGAAACATTGGGGTACGAATCTGAAATCCGCCATTTCAAGGTTTGTGTTGCGTATCATGTTTAGGAGACCGGGCACAGTACTAACATTGGTATCAGCGGAGGGGTTGCGCAATCCCGTCTAGATGACATGGTTACAAGAGTTCTTGCCGGCTGGTACTTTGTGGGTCAGGACCAAGGCTCCTATCCAACGTGGCCCCGCGATATTCCGAACATGCCGGAGCACAAGACGTTGGCAAGAAACATGGCGCGAGACGGCATCGTTCTGTTAAAGAACGATAACAATTTCTTGCCTCTCAATCCCACGAAACGGTTGGCAATTATTGGATCCGATGCTGAGAATCCCGTGATCATGGGAGGCGGCTCAGGATCAATCTCCAATCCGCCTACCGTCAAACCAATTACTGCCTTACGGGAAACTAACACGGTGGTGGCGGAGTCTCTCAACGATAAACCACAAGAGGGACTCGCGATGGCTGCATCCAACAAGGCAGACACCGCCGTCGTCTTCATCTCATCATGGTCTGGGGAGTGGGAAGGTGGCGAAAAGTCCTGCGACCGCCAATCACTAGACCCTAAACGGAACAGCCCGCCAGGTTCGCAATGTTCTGATCCACGGGGGTCCGATTACGACGGCAACAAGCTTGTGGAGGCGGTATGTAAGGCGGGCAAACCGACGGTTGTCGTGATCCATAGCGTCGGACCTATCATTCTTGAAACTATCGAAACATGCCCTCACGTCGTTGCCATAGTCTGGGCTGGTCTTCCGGGATCGGAGTGCGGAAATGCTTTGGTCGACGTGTTGTTCGGTCACACAAGCCCGAGCGGAAGACTCCCATATACTATTGCAAAGAATGAGGGCGACTACGGCACTAAGATTGTGACGGGGGATTCTGATCCCTTTACGGAAGGGCTGTATGTTGACTATCGGCACTTCGAAAACAAAGGCGTCATATCGAGGTATGCCTTCGGGCATGGGTTATGTACGTTTCAATCCCTACCGCGCTGTCGCGTTCGAACTGACGCCCTCCAAGCATACACGAACTTCAGTTATTCCAATCTCGCCACGTCATTCACCAAGAACACTGCAGACCATGCAACAGTCGTCCCTGGCGGTTTGGCGAATCTTTACGACAACGTTGCTACTGTGACAGCAAAGATCAAAAACACCGGAAAAGTAGCAGGTGCCGAAGTAGCTCAACTGTACATTGGCCTGCCTTCATCTGCGCCTCCTACACCAGCCAAGCAGCTTCGTGGCTTCCAGAAGCTCAACCTCAAGTCTGGCGAGGAAGGCACTGCTACCTTCAAGCTTCGCCAAAAGGACCTAAGCTATTGGGATGTTGGCTCTCAAAAATGGGTTATGCCTAATGGCAAATTCAACGTCTATGTTGGCGCCAGCTCGCAAGATATAAGGCTAAATGGCACCATATCAGCATTGTAAGGAGCACAGGCACCATGAATCAGAGTGAAGAACGGGGAGCGGTTGATGCAATTGTTGATCTCTGCCCGCCTCAACTAAAGTTGAAGAGGAATGCTTCCTAGTTCAGTCCGAAGGACTGTTATTACGACGGGATGCAGAACAATGAAACCAGGTGTAATTCAACCTTTCTGATGATCCAACGTGCCATTCGCAAACGAGAGCAAATTGACCATTTCATCGCGTATCTCGAAACGAAGGCGACAGAACCCCGACAACGTGTGCCTGTACAGGATCATCTTTCGCCACAGGACTGGCTTCTCCTGGCGGAGATACAGAGCCTACTAAAACCTCTCTATGAGATCACCATGAGGTGCCAGGGTTGGGCCAAAGAAGGCCGTTACGGCGCCTTGTGGGAAGTGATGATCGGAATGGAATACCTGCTCAACTTTTTTTCGAGGAGCAAAAGCTCTTGTTCTCGCCGCCTGATGCTAATGCTGATGACACACGGAATGCCGGAGCCTCGGCAACCACAAGTACGCCTTCAAAATTCATGTTTGCTTACCTCATGTCTATCTTGCTAACAGTTTCGCAGGACACAGTCCTCTACGAGCTGACCAGGATGGCGGACGCGAGAGACACTTGCCCGAGCACACCCGAGACGAATACAATCGTGCATTTTTGCAAGCTGAACGTCTTAATGATGATCACCGACGATGCATACAAATTTCTATCAATAACTGTTGGTCAAAGCTTGACCAGTATTACAGCCTACTTGGCCAATCCCCCCTTTACACGGCTGCTGTCATCCTTCACCCGCGCTGGAACGTGTCCTGGCTTGAGGCGAACTACACCAGCCGCGAGCAACTGGTGTGGCTACGGGACGCTAAGAGCAGTGTCCGGAAATATTTTGAACAACAATATCCACCTAAGGAGCGGTCCGATGCAGTGACCACCTTGATAGGAAAAGTGATGCAATCAGATGAGCCTAGTCAATTCGACCAGTGGATGCAAAGCCACGATCGGTACAGGATGGAGGAAGACGATGAGCTTGGAGCTTACATGAGGCAGGCACCAGTCCGGCGAGAGAACTTGAACCCTATTCTATGGTGGAGGGATCACCAAGAAGAATACCCACGTCTGAGCAAGTTTGCCCTTGACATACTGGCAATTCCTGCCATGTCTGTGGATCCTGAACGAACTTTCAGTGTCACAAAGTTGACAGTAAGCTCGCAGAGGCACAGCTTAAGCCCAGAGACCATCGAGGAAATAAAGTGCCTACGGGATTGGCTGGCCCATCGAGCGATCACTGTGGGCGAAGTCGTTAGCTTTGGTGGGGAACTGATCAGTTGTGATGAACAGGTGGCGTAATAGTGTGCCGGGCCTGGCCCTGGCGTCAGATATTCAAGTATTTCAATTTAACTTAATTCAAGTTAAGTTGACGGACGAATTTATTTCAAGTAATCAAGTTCGAACCCCGAACTTGACTTACTTGAATTGATGTCAGCGCTCCTGGATGGTCCGCCAAGCAGTAAATAGCAGCGTGGCCCCGGGCCAGGGCACAAGGCATCCGACCGGGTGTTTCATGCAGCAGCAACGCAGCTCGGCTAACCCCGTCGTGGATGAGCGCTGGAGATGAATTACCAGCCCGCGAGCTCGTGCAGGAAGTGGGCGTGGCGACGTCACGCTCAGAAGAAAGAGAGCTGGACTCGGATGGGACTGGCGCGTGGTGAAACTTTCACAGTGAAAGGGGACAACTGTGAGGTACACTTTACCTTACGGCTCCCCCTTGTTCAGAGAATTGACCAATGATTCGCAATACGGGTGCCCGAACCCCCTGCCAGACAACGCTGTCGTAGCGGATCCATCGGCTGCACTGCCTCGACAAATATACGCTCCAATTTAGAGCGTTGTGGTTTGGAGCCGCGGCACGGAACTTCGCCGAACGGAGTAGTAAAGGTACCTACAAAGAGGCATCGCTGTCGAGCAGGGCACACCCAACCGAGTTGGCCCTGCGACACCAAAACAGTGGCACTTCAACATTTCCAATGATCTTTTGGCAAGATGTCAACCACAGATTCAACCATTAAACTTGTTGCCATGAGTCTTCTCTCCATCGCCGTCCTATCTTTACTGGTTACTGTTTTCCGAGTAACGAGAAGCAGAGTGTGCCCGAGAAAGGCGGCGACCCGCAATGACCAAGTCTGTACCATGGGGCCATCTGCTCATCCTGGCCAAATAAGGTAGCAGGACTGGGTATCTCACTGATAATGGATTTAACGGCAGCAAGCCTCTTCAAAGCACACGACTCTTATCTGGCATGTCGCACTGCACGTGTGCATAACTGACTGACGACCGGGAAGAAGGTCCCCAGCGAATTGGGCAACAAAGACTCTTGCATTTTCTATCTAATGACTGAATTGAGGTTGGTATTTTATACCGATGCAATCGAGGCAGGCATCTGAGACACGGCAGGCAGAAGCCAGGTTCCCTGAAGCTATCGCCACCGATGGTAGGCAGCAGTGCTGTTAACGGTCTACGTGAATGAGCGACTTGATATTGACATATAACGATACCCCCGGATCTCTAGTATTGTGTCCGGATACTGAAACATCGCAGGCAGCAACTGGGTTGCTTGAAGCCATTCCCGATCCCGGATATTGACGTGTGTCTTGGATAGTTGACCAACGCCCGGCACAGTGGTGGCCAGGAGCCGGGTCTGAGTGGATGTAATAGCTAAAGTAGGGTACTTGCAAGCCCCTGTCCATCAAAGCCAGCCACTTCGAAGCTTGCCGAAACGCAGTCGCCTGCAGGCGGCCAGGGAAGCGACATCTATGACCCAGTCCTGATGAAACAGATCCATGGGCTCGTGCCCGGTTCTAGGGGATCTCCACATCCAGGTACAGCACTCCAGGTGTCCACGGAGAATGAACCGGACCCAGCGTTGGCTAGTACAAGATGGTCCAAGGGAACGCGCCATGTCTACGATGGCCTTTCCAAGCGAGGTTGAACCTTGAGAATGTCCGAACAGTATGGGATATCCGTGATCTGAGGTCGAATGTGTCTGGCGGCGATCATACCTGGACCGACAACGTGAACTGCTTGGTGTGCGGTTCTATCATCCCGTAGATCCCGAAGGCCTCGTTCGGTCGCCAACTAGCTCTATTCATAGCTGCTAACCTGCCCCCTCAGAAGGCTTTGTGGGATGGTAAACCGAAACTTACAAAGACAGTGCTAGTGTTCGCCTTGGAAAGAAGATGTCGTGGAACGAAGCTGCAGTTTCTGGCTGCGCTCAAGCGTGCAGACGACGGCGTTAAGCTCGTCTCCGAGCACTCACCCCCCCGACTGCACCTCGACAACTCTTGTTGTACAGACCCTTAAAAAAATTCTATAATCGCGTCGCGCACATTCCTTGTACACTTGCTCGCGTGACTTATGGTTAAAGCTTGCTGGCCATGGTGGAAGCCATTGCAGAGAACATAATTTCGCACCAGATCCGTTGCAGTTATGCCGCTCGACCGAGACACCTGCGGATATAGCAAAATCTGGGAGAAAGCAGGACGGAAGGGCGAATACAACTTGGATTTGCAGGGTCACAAGGCGGCAAACCACCACCGAGCTCTGACGCAGTCACGCAGGTCACGCCGTCATGATAGATCCGAGGCGGCAGATCAGCGCTGCTCGTGCGATAATACGCTTGCTAAGGTCCTGTTGATAGAATTGTGCTGAATCTGTGTGTAACAGGCCCGCATGGTCCTGTCGTGCTGGGATTGTGTCCAGACGGGGCGGTGCTGCATCTAGGTCCAGGCTCTCCCGGGACTGGACCAATCACGGAGCTGACCTCGCATGTACGGGTTCGGCCAGGTCCAGGACATGCCTTCACGCGAAGCACCGGCCATGTTAGGCAGAGAATGTGCTGCCTCTAATGGATCGTCGACGGGCCCCTGCTGGCGTGGTGGCATACGGCGCACTAAACAGCGCTTGTTACCCGCTGAAGCTAACAGGGGCACAGCCCAAGATGCACGAAGTGGCTTGGACCCGCTTCTCCCGGGCAACGCAGCGCTCCCCCTTCCACGCAACGCTTTCCACGCAACATTTTCCCTTCCGCGCAACGGTTTCCCTTCCACGCAACATTTTCCCTTCCGCGCAACGCTTTCCCTTCCGCGCAACGCTTTCCCTTCCACGCAACATTTTCCCTTCCACTCAACGCTCACGCAATGCTCAGTCAATCACACACTCCCAGCACCGTCGCGCGACCAGCGACCTCCTCCAGCACGTGCGAGTCTCCTCTCGACACGGATACGGGATCGGAGCTTGCATCCGTGGTCTGCATTTGTGGGCATAGCTACACAGAAAGTGGCCACAGAAGTCATCGGAAGAAGGCGCACTTTGATTGCTGCGAAACTATTTTCTTTGGCGAGGCGTGGCTTAACCACCGCAACACAACAGGCCACACCGGTGAAGAGGTTCACGCATGGACAAAGAAAACGGAGTCTTATGGTGAGAAGGTAGAGTGCGAGCTCGGGTGCGGGTTGACTCCAACGCGACAGGATGAAAAAATATCGCAAATCAGAGCACTATAGGTGCATCGAGTGCGATCGAATATTCATCTCCACCGGCAAGAAAGAGCACGAGCACAGCACTAAGCATGTTTCTTACATGCTGGTTCCTTCACTTGACCGGGAGCACCCAGGTGCTGTTGCGGCGACATCGACACTGAGGACATTCGAGCCCAGAATGCCTCGCGAGAGTATTGAGACTGCCCAAATGCGCAGCAAGTATGGTTCCCTGATTCAAGATTTGCTTCGAGAATGCCGGAACTCAAAGGTTCCCAGGCCAGCCCCACAAGATGGGATGATAGCCTGGCACTCCTAAACCGGATCTTCCCTTCTGATCGCGACATACCGATCGCGCGGATCTGGCCCATATCAGCGATGGCCGACGACCCAGATGTTTGGTATACTACAGAAGACGAGATAGAGAAAGTCATGGACGAAGACTTCATCTTGCACAAACCCACGGTG